CTGAAGTACAATAAAATATTAAAAAAAAAAAAAAAACTTAAAAAAAAAGTCTGCACTATAATAAGTGCTTTTTTATGAATGTATTAAGGAACAAGACCTAGCAGCACATCTAATGATGAATGTAATCTCAAAGCAGTGAGGAGTAAAGACTGTATTTCCATGTATCAGCTTCCAGGGTAATATAATAGGAAAATACTCATGATTGCCACTGGTGACTAAGTCTCAGGTCCTGCTAATACCACTGTGCTTTGTTGCCCACGTTCATAATGGAAGGCAATACTACATTTCCATTAGAAGTTAATGAGAATAAAGCTATACTTTTGCTTTCCTTTCCAAGTTCATGGAATCCTTGAATTCTCTCTACAGACCTTTGGGGGTCCCAGGACCTCAGTTTGAGAGTCCTTGTTCTGTAGGGTTCTACATTCAAGTTAAGACCTAACGCCCGATTGCTCATTTAATAAATATTTAGGAAATGCCTACTTTGCTCTAAACACAGGTACCACAGAAGAAAATACAAAATAAGGGTAAGACTCGGCTGCAACCATGCTCTAAAAACTTTCAGAATCTCTGCTAAATGTCTATTGTGGTTCTTCCAGTTTTACTGCAATTTGTGTTATCCACTGTCAAATCTACCAGGAATTCTCCTTACATGTAACTAAAAAACAAGACACAATCTCTGTTTCAGTCTTGCTGTGAAATAAACACTGCGAGTCCTCCACACTCTCATTTCCCTTCTAATAAAACCAGCCCCTGCCACATTTAAAGTAGCCCTGGTGGCGCAATGGTTAAGAGCTCAACTGCAAACCCAGTGGTTGGTTTCTCCAGGGGAGAAAGACCTGGTAATCTGCTGCTGTAAAAATGAGCCAGAAAAAAAAAAACAAAAAACCTCAAACCCACTGCTGTCAAGTCAATTCTGACTCATAGTGACCCTGCAGGACAGTGTAGGACCGCCTCGTAGGGTTTCCAAGGCTATAAATCTTTACGGAAGCAGACTGCCACATCTTTCTCCCACAAAGTGGCTGGTGGGTTCAAACCGCTGACCTTTTGGTTAGCAGCCAAGCTCTTGATCACCTAGAAAACCTTATGGGGCAGTTCTACTCTGTCACATGGGGTCGCTATGAGTCGGAATCAACTTGATGGCACCTAACAACAACAGCAGCCTACATTCAGGCATTTTACAGGGATGAGATGAGGCAATTGGTATAAAAGTTCTCTGAAAAGTGTGAAGTGTTCCCATGGATGGTGTTCCAATTATACTGTCGATCTACGGGCCTAGTCAGTGTGTCTGAGAACAGACTAGGAACTTCCTGTGGCAGAAATGGCCAGAAAGTGCCCTCTAGAATCACAGAAGGATCTCTTAAACCTGTTAAACCCGTTGCTGTCAAGTCGATTCAGACTCATAGCAACCCTACAGGACAGAGCCGAACTGCCCCCAAAGAGTTTCTGAGGAGCAGCTAGCGGATTCGAACTGCCGACCTTCAGGTTAGCAGCCAGCACTTAACCACTGTGCCACCAGGGTCCCAAAGGGTCTCTTAGGGAAGAGCACGTAACAAGCAGAGATTTCTGGAAAAATAATTCTGTGGTGAATTCTACTGTGAAGCAGTCTAAAGGAAGCAAATAACCTACCAAGGAGGTTACTCTGAACACAGCTTTCCACAGGATTCCATATCTCCTGGGTGGTACAGATATTGTGAATAAACAAAAATGACTTGCAAAGCAGGATTCCATATCTCCTGGGTGGTACAGATATTGTGAATAAACAAAAATGACTTGCAAAGAGTTTTCTGTACACTACAAGATGCATCAGGAGTTCTAAGGCTTAAACTGAACTTTAATATAAGTCTAACATGTTTCATATCTGCCCTGGCATGGATTATTCTATTTGTATTCCTATTACAACTGATAATCTGCATTGGTTCACAAACAGACTATAGAGTTTGCATCAGGTATAAAAACACAGGTTAATTTAAACAAAATTCCTTTTAGTAAAGAAAATCTGAAAACTGTCCCAGATGCACCCTAAAGAAGGAAGCTGTAGTTCTGACTTGTTTATTGCAAATGATTGCACAACTTAAAGAAAATTTGAGAGATCAGTCTGCATTAGTGGAAATAATTACAGAAAATCTTTAAAGAGGTTCACTATAAACTAGTTTTGAGTCAAGTTATCTCTAAATAGATGCAGAACTGCTGTATGTTTTTTTTTTTTTTAAGTGACACAATGATATGCAGGTATGTAAGTATTATCACTTTGAAAGTGGTTGAAAGCTCCTTAAACTGTTAGCGTAGACCAGGCTCAAGTTAATTTGAATTTAAGTCAGCAGTGTCAAAATGAGTAGGAATTATCTCATTCCTGTCCTACCAAGCTCTTGGGCTGCCATGAATTTCTAAAGCATAAAATTGCTTCTATAAAGGCACCTCTTTAATGAAAACCAGAAGCATCATCAGTAATACCTTTTTTTAATTAACATTTTTCTTTTCAAGTCTGCAGTGTCAGGTTTCATGTCCTATCATCACAACTCCACTGGGGGAGGGGCAGAGAAAGGCAGTGATTTAGTATACTGCTCACTCTACCAGGTATCAGCACTACAGCCCTCAGTATGACTGACATTTAGACTCTCCAGAATAACCACCTTTGTGGGCTTCCACACAAACGTTGTGAGCCTTGGTATACATGTCTTGCTATGTCATATAAATATTGTACTACCTATATGTTACCAACATCTTTGATTTTAAGTGCAGACAAACTCCTTCCCAATAAGAAGTTTCTAAGGGCTCATGTGGTACTTTTGTCAAGAGAAGTAAAAATGGGAGCATTTTCAAAGTTCTGTCTTTCAATGTGGTTAGAAGAAAGTTGGCTCAAATGAAAATCCATACTTGGTCCCCACTACTCTAAGATTTCTACTGAGAACACTTAAAATTTCAGCCTTTTATGTGGCTAAACTTTACAGTCACATTTCTTTGACCACCTTTCCACGAATGGCAGTCCACAAGACATGGTAACCAGTACAAGATCTCATTTGAGACCATAGCTAAAAAAGAACTAATTATCGTAGTGCCTTCGCCACACAAAAATGAAACTACTTACGGAAGTACTTCAGCGTCTCTTCAATTTGCTCGGTTGTGAGGTCAATGTTGGCATCAGGAGAAATGAGGGGCGTATGGAGCCAGTCATCGTGGTCATAACCGTAGATGGTATCAGCTCTTAACTTATAATGGGGCAGCTGCTCCTCCAGCAGGCTAATGATCTCAACTTCCGGAAGGTCAGTGCTGTTGCACACGTCTGGAGAAAAAGGACCAAAACATGAGAGTCCAGAACTGGCTAGGCCTTGTTGCTGCTAGTTAAATAAATAACCTGTGGCCCAGACTAGGTGTATACAGCTATTTACCTACAACATGGGGAAACCCTGGTGGCGTAGTGGTTAAGAGCTATGGCTGCTAACCAAAAGGTCAGCAGTTCAAATCCACCAGGCACTCCTTGGAAACCCTATGGAGCGGTTCTACTCTGTCCTATAGGGTCGCTATGAGTTGGAATTGACTTGACAGCAATGGGTACCTACAACATGGGGAAATCCAAACCAAACCCGTTGCTGTTGAGTTGATTCCAACTCATAGTGACCCTATAGGACAGAGAAGAACTGCCCCATAGGGTTTCCAAGGAGCGGCTTGTGGATTTGAACTACTGACCTTTTGATTAGCGGCCCAGCTCTTAACCACTGTGCCACCAGGGCTCTATGCAGAGATCAGACAAGGTCATACTAGAGGTCTTTCTCTAATTTAAATTCTACTCTCAGAACTCAGAATTATGTACACGTTCTACCAAGACCTCCCCGGATAGTTACTGCTGTTTAGCTGCCTACTATCTGGGACAAAAAGCCAAAATACTTGAGCCTTCACTATTCAGGCCTAAGCCTTTCTTTCTAACCCTTTCTCCAGCCATTCTCCCTCAAACACGCTACACTTGAGCCAAACCAGTCATGTTGAGCTATAATTGCATCAATCTACCTAACTTCTTCCTGTCGCTCTTTTACCATTCAAGCTATCCCCTTTACCTAGAACTCTGCCTTCATTACATTCACTCATTCGTCTGTTTCTCCACCCATACTTCCATTTATCCATCCAAATACAATAAAATCTGCGCAAGCCAGAACCTGTGTAAGGCAGAAACCTATCTGAGAAGGAAAACTCAAATATCTCCCACTAATAGACAGTGACAGAAAAATGGTAACTTGCAAGACCCAGAAAAACAAGGCAGTCCTGTCAAGTTCCGGCTCTCACAGGTTTCACTATATTCTGAGTGCCAGACACACAGGAAACACAATGAGGAACACAAGGGTATGGCCCTGCCCTTGCACCATTTCTATTCTTATGGTGTTTCCAGGCATTAAACTAATAGGTACCTGTCCTTTAAGGCATAGCTTGAATATTACTTCTACCATGCTTTCGGCACTCTAAATAGAGTTAATCTTTCACCTCCTACTATATTCACACAGCACTTTGTTAGAACTTCTGTTCTTGCACTTACTACATTCTGACTTCTGGGTATTTTAGTATTCGACTCATCTCCCTGTGAGATGGCAAATGTCATACACAGTCATCCTCGATCCCTCACCCCCAATTCCTGGAACAGGCTGCTTTTAGGGTGTGCATCATAATGTCTAAGAAGATGAATTAATCCATGCAAAGCACATTAATGCAGGCTTTTCTTAAATTAAATTGTAAGCACAACAACATGGCAAATACAGTCAGGACAAGAACAGATCCTAACACAACTTCTATACCCTCCCCCAAACAAAACCAAACCCGTTGCCATCAAGTGGATTCTGACTCATAGTGACCCTATAGGACAGAACAGAACTGCCCCAAAGTTTCCAAGAAGCGCCTGGTGGATTCAAACTGCCGACCTTTTGGTTAGCACTTAACCACTATGCCACCAGGGTTTCCTCTATATCCCCAGCACTTATTTACCAAAGGAGAAACACAGAGAAGGAATTCAATAAATGCTAGGGTGAATTTTGATTATTTATCAGCTAATTCTGGGATGACCACTATGTCATCCCATTTTGTAGAAGGTATTCAGGACTAGAGCTAGTAAATGACTGTGTGAGCAGCAGGGGACGAGTCAACCCATAAATAAACCAAAGTTGTCTCTGGTGCACACTGCTTGATAAGAGAGGAGAGTTAAACTTGTTCTATCATTGTAGGACTGAACCTGCAAACTGAGGGAAAGAAAAAAACAATCGTAAGAGTACAAATCCTGGCGTCAATTCCTAGCAAGGCTGTCATACCACGTTCTTGCCTTGCAGTAGGAAACAAAGGTGGGGGCCTGGAGCAAGGTGGCAAACTGAGGCCCTGCGTCAGTCTTCTGTCCCTCTCCAAGGTGTCAGAAAATGGGGGGGTGCTCTCAAGATAAATAAAACTACACACAAGCACGGGAAAATAAGGAAGAGGTGTCAAGGATGGGTCAAACTTAGGAAGCACTCTTAAAACGCGAGAAGTGTTCTTTCTCAGATTAAAGGAGAAAAACCCAGTCCTCAACACACACAGAGAAAATGACTGGTGTGAACAATGACAGTAGATCCCAGTGCTTCAAGCTGGCACACGGCTGACAGAGGGAGCAGGAAGTGCCTGAAGCAGCCCACGGGAGGGCGGAATTCCTGGAGAACCAAAGCAGGAACAGCCAGAAAGACCACTTCACTTCTCTCCCTGTTGGAGCCAAGGCCAAGCAACACAGGGCAGAGGAGTGGAGGAAGAGGGCGGGTCCTAGAGCTAAGCATGCAGCAGAGCAGTGACCCCTGGGGAGCCCCTGACACTCAGGCAGGACCTGGAGACATCGTGCCCAGAAGAACTTACCAAAATCCCTGTCTCCTTTTTGCTTAGTAAGGTCACACAGAAGGTGGGAAATATACGGAAGCACAGGAAAAGACGATGTTTAGTGACAAATCACATCCTTTAGGGCAGGAGCCACAATGAAGGCACTTGTCAGTCCCTCCCTCCTGGCCTCACCTCCCCCACAGCCCCTCCTCACTCAGTCAATACGCAAAGTTTCATTATACAACATTTCCGTTCAGGAAGCCAGGGTGGTTTTTCAAGTGCTAAGTAAAGAGTTAATTGAAAGTAGAAAGTGAAGACATTCATAATTTTACTTGGAGCTCTAAGGAAGCTCTTCAATTCCGTCTGGGGAGAAAACTACATCTGAACACTCGGGCTTTACTGCCTAATGTCAGAAATGTCACAGCAAGTGCACTTGGCAGTTCAGAGCCACAAACCAGACAAGAGCTGCTCTGTCACTCTGCAAATGCCTGCGGTGAACAGAAGTTATCCCCTCCCCTATGCCTGAGCCAACAGCTCAACCTCAAGAGAGACAGTGTCTAGTATTTCTCCTCATCTCCCACTAACACCAAAGTACCATTCAAAAGGTTCAGGACGGCCCCTAATTAAGCAAGTATTTCCTCCTCTCATTACCAAGTGAAGAATAAATTACCATAAAGCTCATCTAGGGGAGAGGCCTCACAGCTATAACATGGCCGCCATCTGACTGAGGGGATCCAGGGTCAAGGAAGGCTGACGCCCAACCACCTCTTGGCTAAACAAAGATCTGACCAAACCATCACTCCACAGCAGCCCCACAACAGGCAGTGCCAGCCTGTCCTTAGGAGACCAGGCAGGGCACCAACAGATTCCCACATGTAATGCCTACACAACAGGCTGGAATCTTCTGGTGGCACTGCTATTTGGTGGTGGTGGTGAAGGCAACAGATTCCAGACAAAAAAAAACCCCTTCTAAGAATAACAGGTCACTTGTGAGCACCTTGGCAACTGCTCAAACATTGAGATTTGACCTGTCCTTCTATGTTTCCAGAGCTGAAGGTCAATCTATTTACAGTATAGGTCCTTGTGCCCCAGAGATATCATTTTCCTTAAAGCATATGATGACCACTGAGATAAAGTATCAAGAGGTGAGGCTTACCAAAATGCCTTTTTTACAAACTCTGTATATTTAATTTTTCCATTAAGATGACCAGCCATAGAAACATCACCAAGTTTTCAGATGCCTGGAAGGCCCAGAGAATTAAGGCATGGGACAGGATTATAGAGATGGCCCAGGGAACTCTCCTTGACTTTGGCTGCTGGGCCAGAGGCCCCGGAGACCTCCTCTGGGGGCAGACACCACGTGTCCCTCATACAAAGGCCTGAGGTTGGGTAAATATAATATGAGGGCCTACAAGCAGTCCCCAAGAATAATCTGGAAAAGGATAGGGAGAATGGTTGTGCGACTTGAAAAATGTAATCAATGTCATCGAATTGGACATGTAGAAATTGATGAATTGGTGTATGTTTTGCTGTGTATATTTTCACCAAAAATAATAATAATAAATTTAATCAGAAATTTCTGGTTTCTGACAGTTTTCAGTGTTAAGTATTGTTTATAGGTAGCTACTTTTCCAATCAACAACTAGCTCTAAGTCTTTAATATTTAAAAAGTAGCTTTTATAGCTGTTGGTATATCTGTGTATAAAGCATAACACGTTGTTTGCCTCTAAAAAAAGAACCCTCCAGCAACACTTTTACCAACTGCCTCGCGGGGTGCCAAACACCATGCCAGGTGCTTTCAAAGCTTTCTCTGACCCTCCCAGCAACCTGGGACACAGATATTATTTGTTCTGTTTTATAGATGAGGAAGCTGAGATTCCCCAGATTGTGAAGCACTCTGCTAGCCAAGGCCACACAGCTGAACAAGTGGCAGATCCACTGTTAAGAAGCCTCAGCTGCCTGGCTTGTAGGACTATGTTATTCCCTCTGTCACCTCCTGCTGCCCATCTACTAGGCGGGCATACTTGAAATGCTAGGGAATTCCATGGATATTATGATCAGGAACTTTCTGTTCTAAATGGGTGGAAGACTTTATAAATGTGGTAGAGTTAATCCATTAAACACATCAACAAACTACTGAGGTGCCAGAACGACTTTTCTATTTAAAGCCCAGGAAACAGGGCCAAGAAAAGAGGAAATTTTTTTGCAGAACCACACGGGTCAGTAGCCTGAGTAGGATAGGCCCAGCTCCTACTCTTGGAGCTTATTCAAGTTCATGGTGTGAATGAGCTCTGCTGGCTCAACCTGGAGGAAAGGAACCCTCTATTCGCTCCACAGTCATCATCTGTCCGCAGCTCCAGTCCACATTCTTAACAAGCTATAAAAACATGTTCTGCGATAAGTGCCAAATGAAGGGCATCAACCTCCGTATTGAACTCAGATCCCAGTAAGTCTGTGGCTTCTGCCAGA